GGTCAAACCATAGTGTGTTTTAATTTACTACTAACGCCACCTATGTATTACAAATAAGAAACTAAATATTATACAAAGCTAAAATGAAATAATTGTAGAATTTGTATTTATGTCTATGATAATAAAAGCCTTTTATCTAATTTAACCTTATTTAACCAATTTCTGTAAAGTTGCATATAGTAAATTATTTTTTGAAAAATAACGTCATAAAAGACTCCGTGGCGCAGTTGCCAAGGTATTGCCTTCGGCGTCGGGGGTCGTAGGTTCTATTCCCACACGGGACAACTATTTGTGCGACCCACAAATCAAATCAAATCAAATGTATTTATTCAACATAGGAGCATTACACTCACTTATTGATAGTCAAAACACTACCACCGGTTCGGAAAAGAAAGCCACTGTACTGAGAAGAACCGGCGAAAGAAACTCAGCGGGCTTTTTTTTTTTTAAATAAGCAGTTAGACATAAATTCTTTAAAATACAATATAAGAACTCCGATTGAAACAGCCTGGAGCGATCAGTTCATTACCAGAGTGTGTTATCATTTAAACAATCATTAATATTATAGTAGCCTTTAACACACAAACGTTCTTTTACTATTTTTTTAAAGTTAGCTATTGATGCATTTTGAACGTTTTCTGGAATTTTGTTGTAATAACGTATACATTGTCCCATAAAAGATTTATTAAAAGATTTTTATTTTTAGTTTACGGAGTCTACTTGTGGGTAGGATCAATTTATTTTTGTTCCTAGTATTTATATCATGAACATTATTATGTCTTAAAAATTTATCCTTATTTTTATGGACATACAAAACATTTTCAAAAATGTATTGAGCAGCAACAGTCAATACCTTTATCTCTTTAAACAAGTTTCTTAACGATTCTTTGGGGCCCAGATTGTAAACTGCACGAATAGCTCTCTTTTGTAAGATAAAGATTGTATTAATGTCGGCCGCGTTACCCCAAAGCAGAATGCCATAAGACATTATACTGTGAAAATAACTAAAATATACCAAGCGAGCCGTATCAACATCAGTTAACTGTCTTATTTTTTTAACCGCGAAAGCTGCTGAGCTAAGTCTACTCGCCAGTCTATTGATATGGGGGCCCCATTGCAGTTTGGCATCAATAGTTATGCCAAGGAATACAGTTGAGTCAATAGGGTCCAACGCTTCCCCCATATAAAAGTACATCAGTTTTTACATGTTTAACATTGGAGGAAGTTGTAAATTTAATACATTTAGTTTTTTTATTATACAACAGTAAATTGTTAGCACTAAACCAATGTACTACAGTAGATAGAGTATTGTTTACATCGTCATAACTTAAAGAACGTCGGTTTACTTTAAAGATTAAAGAGGTATCATCCGCAAACAATACTATCTCATGATTATTATTAACAAGATAAGGTAGATCATTTATGTAAATGAGGAAGAGAAAAGGCCCAAGAATAGATCCCTGCGGGACCCCATATTTACCAAGGCCCCGGGAGATCTCTTGCCATTCACGTCAACTCTCTAAATTCGATGGCTCAAGTACGATTTCCGAAGATTGAGTGCGGCATCTCTTATACCATAGTGGCGTAGTTTCCTGACCAAGGTCTCATGCTGTACACAATCGAAAGCTTTGGTTAAGTCACAGAATATTCCAAAGGCATCCTGCGACTTTTCCCAGGCTTCAAAAATATTCATAACGAGCTGAACACCCGCATCAGTTGTTGAGCGACCCCTAGTAAACCCCATATTGCTTGTTATGTAATAAATTATGAGAGCTAAAATGCTGTAACATTTGATTCAACATGATTTTTTCAAAAATTTTACTAAGAGTTGGCAGTACAGAGATAGGTCTAAAATTATTGGGGTCGGAAGTACTACCAGATTTAAACACCGGAATGATTTTACTATGTTTCATAAGGTCAGGAAATTCGCCACGATTGATACAAATATTAAAAATAGTTGCTAGGTAAGGTGATATTACATCAACAATAGAACTGATCACCTTAACCGAGATCCCCCATAGATCTGCAGTTCTTTTAACATCTAAAGTTTTAATAGTTTTAACAATTTCTGTCTTGTTTACAGTAGTAAATTTAAAGTTGACTTTACATTCCATAACATTCTTTTTTAGTAATGACTTAGCAACTGTCGGTGAGGAAAGAAGTGACTTGGTTGTTGAAACTGGAATGTCAACGAAAAATTTCTCGAAGAAAGTAGCAGCCTGTTGATTTGAGTTAATAGAATTATTATCATTAGTTAACATTAGGTCAGATTTGCGCTTCGTGACTCTTCCCGTTTCGCTATTAATTATTTTCCAAGTCATTTTGATTCTATCAGGTGCATTTTTTTATTTTATTCCTAATATATAGAGATTTAGCAGTATAACAAGCTTTTTTAAATATTTTAGAGTAGGCACTAACATAAGAAACAAAACATTGACTATGATTGTATGTCCTTTCACTATAAAGTTCATACAATCTACGTCTACTATTATGAATTCCGACTGTTGCCCATTCATTGAAAACTGCAGAGCTTTTAGGTTTGACTGTCTTAGGAGTAAATATAGTATTAAATTCCACTTTAATTAAATTAAATAATATGTTGTAAAGTGCATTGGGGCTATCATTATAAGGTAGATACGTCAGCTTTTTTGTTATATTACTTCTAAACTTCTCAACCCGAGTTCTATTTACAGGAACAACCATTATTTTTTGTACCTTAGCACTACTCTTTTTATATATGACTTAAAAGTGGCAAGTTGTCCGCAATGGTCTGAAGTAAATAAATATATAATAATAGACTTGTTAATTGGGTTACAATTTGTAAATATGTTATCTAAACAAGTTGCGGAAGAAGTAGTGATTCTAGTTGGTTCAAGGAATAAATTGGCAAGGTTATATGAATTTAACAATGATCTGAATCTAATAGAGGTGGTAGAATTTTCTAATAAATTTATGTTAAAGTCACCACAGACAATAATATATTTATTAGACTCAGATAACTTCAACATCAATTCTTCCAAAACATTTTCAAAAGATTCATATAACGCACTAGGAGGTCTGTATACGCATACAACAATGAATTGCTCAAGCTCCACACAGGCTATTTCAATAGTCTGCTCAACAGAGAGGCTCACAACATCTTTGCGGTTCTTAAATTTTTAAAGCATTATTAATAAGTATAAGAGAGCCACCACGTATCGCTTTTTCTCTGCTGAACAGACTAGCAACCTGGTGACATCTGAAGTTAAATATTTACTGGTAGTTTAATAGCCAATGTTCAGTAATACATAATATATCAATATTGTTACTGTTCAAAAATAACTCAATTTCCAAATCTTTACTTAACATTCCTTGGATGTTTTGATGGACCAGGCTAATACAATTTAATTTAATACTACAATTAATGTCTTTATTCAATTTACTTACATGTCTCACTAATTTACTAGAATAAGTAAAGTTTTTAATTGAAGTGCCAGAGATTGCCTCTGCTGTCTTCATATTTAATTGACAAATAGTTCTTTCGCATCTGGGCGTTTGTCCTCGTGCAATTAATGTTTGTAAAACGTCCTTACAACACACGATAATGTTATCCTAAAGTGATCGCAATGTTTTTTAGAAAAAAAAAATATATAAATATCCTACGCGGGATTTTCCTGTATTTGTTGATACGAAAAAACAAAAATTTCTATTCAATCTCTTCGCCTTTTAAATTAACCTTACCAATAAAATACCCAATCGACGAATTAGCTTAGCGAATGTTCGAATTCATAAACTTTTTGTTAATTTCTCTACAAAAACTTACAATAAAAAAAATTGCCAAAACAGATCTTTTCGCTTCCTAATAGAGCACTGTAATAAAATGCTTCTATTCGTATTATTATCAAGATATCCGAGTGTGTATTGTGCGATCGTCGGATGCCGAGACTGTGATGCGATGTCAGACATGCACAACAGTGGGCGTGCGTTGCAGAGGTCCGACTGAACTTGGCATCGGCCCACAAACCTACTTGAGGCGCCGCGCCGCTGTCCGTGTACTTATTTATCCATTATACCCCAACAGCCACCGCCTGAAGGCAGACACCGACCCGCGACGCAAGTAAAAGCTCGCGGATGCGGCATTAAATTGTGCACTTGCTAGATAATAAATAATGTAACATTTTGAACAATCACCGTTACCTTTATGTTTCATTTTATTATTAGTTAAATTGTTAACGATTGCTAGATTAAAAAGAAAACGTTACCATGTAACATATAATAACCACAATAAAACAAAACGTTCAAAACATTATTGAACAATGAAAGTTATATCAATAATTATAGTTTTATAGTAGAAAATATGATAAGAAAGAGAAGAAGTAATCGTATACTTACATGAAAGCGGGTAAAAATGTATTCAATTTGATAAATGTTAATCTAATCGGTATTCAACTCGAATACAACTGATGAGGTTTCATATCGATATCATCATCGCTGTCGCAAATCAGCTTAAAATAATAACAAACACTTGCCAGTCCCGTTGTTTTGTAGCAATATCAATGATACAATTCAAAAAAGTGTATTAAAAAAGTAGTGACATAAATTTTACTGTATGTTAAGGTAAAGTATGTAAACATTTTAAGAACTCCTTAATATATTGTTTCGAAATCAAATTTACTACATTGGTTACGTAAATTTATGTTCAAAAAACTCTAAATTTAAAAAAATGAAAAAATTTAATCACCACTAGCACCCGAATAATATTATTAACTATACGCAAACAGGAGATGACGAAATTTTAATCACTATTTTGAATCGAGCAAAGTTACCTGTTGCCGCATCCACGCAAGCTCCTAGCACCTACATCCGTGACCCAAAATTCAAGTACGAGATTGCGCGACTCATTGTGGCTTTTCGGCAGGACCAGTATATATACGAGGTGTTGCGTTACATTCGTTAGATAATTCGGCCACCTCAAGTCGGACACAACTTGTGATAAACAAACAATCAACAAAACAAACATCATGCAGTCATTCGTAAGTTCCTTAACAATAGGTCACTTTTTAGACCAATACTCTGTTATTAAGTAAGTTTGTTCAGAAGAATTCCATCATGATTTCTATTCAGCACTTACCTAACCTATTAAAATGAGTAACTTTTTAGAAATTTATTAATAATACAAATAATCAACCTTTTTATCTTTACTTATTTTCATATGTTTGTAATTTAAAACTACTACTTGTTTAATACGACATAGATTTTATAACTTATTACTGGCTTTGTTCAGAAGAATTCCATCATGATTTCTATTCAGCCCTTATCTATGCCCTTTGAGCAAGGAAGTATTGCTATTATTCTCTTGATATAACAAATTTCTATCAATACATACCGTTATATTTAATTTCATCTTCAATTCATACATTAATCAAAGGGCAAAGAATAAGGAATACATCGATGAAAGGTGGATACTGTGATAAAAAGAAAACACCCAACATAACCTTTAACAATGTCGCTAAAATTGATTCGTCTTCAATTTCAAACGTCAAAGAATCTTCCTTATCTGAACACAGGTCGTGTTCGCCGCTGTACTGGCTTGCGCGGCCGCCGCGCCTGGTCTTCTGCTGGCTCACGAGACGCCTGTTGTGGCCGCTGTCCACGCGCCCGTTGTCCACGCGGCTGTGCCGGTTGTAGCTGCTAAGACCACGGTCACGAGGAGCAGCCAAGTGGTGAACCACGGCGGACCCGTTGTCGCCCCGGTGGCCGCCGTGCCGGTAGTCCACGCCGCCCCAGTTGTACACGCCGCCCCAGTTGTGCACGCGGTACACGCCCCAGTTGTCCACGCTGTACACGCTGTCCACACGCCGGTGGTGGTCAAGACAGCGCCGGCGGCGATCGCCCACAGCACCTCAGTCGTCCACCACACGCCCATCGTCAAAGCTGTGCCCCTAGTCGCCGTCCATTAATTCCTTATCACCCACCATTATTTTTACAATCGCGTAATTTAATAAATCGATTACCTCCGTTATATTTTGTTTTCATTAATAATCCTTAAGTAACAGGGACAACGAAGGCTTATCACGTAACGCCAAAGTTATTTAAGGCAAATTCGATGCCGTGGTTATGCGGTGTGCTTAGTATGTGTATATCGGTCCCGGAATAACAAGTCGCGAAATTGTGAAATGAGGAAGAAGTAGATGTGAATATGTTGAAAGAAAAACCAAAGAAGAAATGTTTCCGTAGTATGGGAACGTATAAAGAGTTAAGGAAGACAGAAAAGAAGATATACTTTATATAGAACGTATATCTTATATATGTAGATCTACATATCCACACGGACCTATATTTGGATTAAATAACTTAAGTTTTCATATTGAATAAACTGAAGGATTTCATTACTCTATTTATACACTACATTGTTAGCAAGTTACACCTAGCCGTATGTCTTAGCCGTATTCATTATATTAGCAATAAGTCATTCACTCATGCATCAAGAGTGCAATAAGAAAACCTATTTTTGAAACTGTAAATAGTACATTCGAATACAACCACAGTCTCTTCCGGTTTTTTTAGTACAGCACCCTAAAATTATTTCTTATAATCAACTACAGTTTAAAGTTGATTTTGGGGTAAAATTACAAATAAGTTTTTTGTTGATTGATATAAATATAAATATACATATACAATATTAAGATTTAAATAATAAAAATAATAAATAAACTAGTTTCATCTAGCGAAAATAGAACATTTGGTGGCTAACGTTTTTAACCAGCACTGATCGGTTTTGCTCAGGAAATAATGTTGATTTAATATCGGATGTAACGTTACATAACACTTCGCCTAAAACGAGGCAGTATAACTACATAATCTAGTAAGCAACATAACATATATATAAAGATTTAGTACACTCAAGATCGCTCCCACAAACACGCAATTCCAGTGTTCGAACATTCCTACGATGAAAATTCTGAAGAGTACTTTGATGACACAGACATTGTTGATTCACTCTCTACAGCAATAGATCCTTCAGTCAGTGTTTGTAAAGAACAAACATCTAAACTCTTGTAAGATTTATTTACTCATTAATTATTTTATTTCATCTATCTGCCCAGTCATTGACAATTACAATAGTCAGTAAATTATTATGCTGTATAAATGCCTTCTTTTCCTGCCAATATCCGTATTGGTAGGGTCATTATAAAATCGTGTTGTTAATGATAGTGGATAACTTGTGGAGGATCGACTGCCGGCCAGATGTCAATACTCCTTGACAATAAACAGCCGGATCCAGAACGTTTCAAATACTTGTCCTACGAGGCAGTCGAACCACGTACCACTGGTGCCGAAGACCATAGCTCAGCAACTGAGTCATATATTGGTTATGCTAAATAATATAGATATTAATGGCATCAGGTAAGCAAAATCATGTTGATTGCGTGTGCCCATGAAATCACTGAGATATATATAACAAACCTTCCAGAACTTATTATTTTTTAAAATGAAAATATATGATTATTATAACAAGCCAAATAATGTCTAACACTCTGTGGCAGATATACTCTATATTTAAAGTATAACAAGTATGCGTAAAACGCTGCCAATTTAAACGATGTTTACTATAAAGTTCCTAAAGTGGAATCTTAGATAGATTGGTGTTTGGTGCGGCGTTTTAAACAAGTAACATCGAGGAAAAATTCTTTTCAATGACTATTACCACGTCAATAAATTCCAGGACATTTTTATTGCTATATAACATTATTTAGAGGTTAAACGCATAAATAAAATCAAAAACTGTAAAAAATATAAACAAAAAACAGTCGGGGTATATAAAGTGGGATAAATATTTAAAAAGGAAGGAACCGCAGGAATAGGTGTCTCAGCTATTTATTTTAAAGCCTTATCTATAATTGTGATAAACGATTGAAACATGATCATTTAATGATTTGATAAATATAGAAAAGGTTAGATATTTACTTTAATTTATCAAAGGTGCTCTTATCACGCATGTATACGATAAATTTTTCTAGCTTTATTGGTATGTTAATTAATATTGAGAGTCCCAGACACTACACCTTACTTGACTACTCATCGAAAACACGAACAGACCAAAAGCCATAGGGTTACGCAAGATTCACTGAACTCGCTAGGAATCCTATCGGAGTTATTCAAGCAATGCCTCACCATGTACGGCCCTACGCTGGATTAGATTTAGGTACATTACGAATTTTCGCCTCTAACATATATATCGGGCGACGCTTCAGAATTAAGCAGTCGGTCACCAATTTCATCCTCTTTCGGTTCGGCTCGCTCGAGAAGAAAATGTATAGGCTGGTGAGTAAATTATGTATCTAACGAAATTATACAAAGCAATTCGAATGCTACTTCCTATACTGTTCTTTCTCTCCCTTGATCTCCAATATCAATACAGCCCAACAGTTTGTGTTTCGTTGAAGAAGCTTAATTACTTTGTCCAATTGATGACCCGATGGCTAAACTATTATTTATATATATATAAAAACTAAGCTATTGGTTTATGCGTCTTTGGCCGTGGTTTCGATTCCCATACGGGACAAGTATTTGTGTCCCACATATACTGTTGCGTGATCCTACCACATAAACTTATTTATTCATAAGAAGCGTTAAGTAACATAATGATTATTTAAAATGTTGTCAGGAAATATCCGTACAACTTTATATTATGTAAATTCACCTTATCTATCCAAAAGCCGATCTTCTTGTTAGCATTTTCAGGTGCTATGAGTTGATAAATTAACAAATTAAATTATGCTCTGTGCCAAGTAACATGGGCTGCCTCAATAAACGCATCATTTTTTATGGCTTTTATGTTTTATCAACAATTTTTGAGAGCACCAGGCAGTAATAACCATATTCTTTTTTTTTGCCACAGTATTATTTTAATAAAAAGCTACTATAACCATTTCATTTGAAGATTTTGGAACACGCTTTATTAACTGCAATTTTGTAACTAGCCAGTAAAAATTTCAAATAATTAAATCATTTCTCGTGTATTTTTTTCTGGCAGAGAAGTCAATACGGGTAGTTTCTTTGGTTTGCAAATTATATTATAATTTGTAGGAAAATGGACGATATTTCTTTTTCCAATTCCCGAGAAGTTTTAAATCGTCTGGACATCAATACAAACTTTAACGTTTCACCTTAAGTGCAGAGATTAGCACTATAAATACTATTATATAAAATTTAAATTTCAAATGATATTTGTATATTAATGAACTTGTGTATACGAAAGTTTTTGTGCATCACAGCTACTTCTTGCGGTCCTCTTCAGCGCCGATGCGGCACCAGCTCCCAAGCCCGGGTTAGTGACCTCACTGCCCTTATACCATGCGCCAATCCTCGGTGTGGTCCATGCTCCTATAGTATCCCACGTCAGCACACTTCAGCTGCCATTACTCCACACGCCAGTGCTGCACACACCATTGCTGCATCTCCCATGGTGGTAAAGACGATGAATGGTTAGCAATCTCCGACTGGACAAAATTTCCCGTGTAAAAGCTTAAATATATGAATTTTAATTTTAAGCTTCCATAACTGTTAATGAATAAGTTTTGTAACTCTAGTTAAGTCTATTGTTTAATTGCTAGTGATAATATTTACTACAAAACAACAATCCTCAATTTCTTACTGGAGTAAGTAAACGAAACTCCGTTCTCATGTTACTATCAATGATAAGAATAACGGTATACCAATATTTTCTTATAATGGAACACCAATAATGCGAATTTACAATAAATGCAAATTAGGATTTAATTAATTTTGTAAAATTTGCAATCTATGTATGTTAAAAATCCCTCTATTAATCTATCCTACAGTAGTTATGATATTTTATAACTGAGGTTACTTCAAAATAAATTCCAAGTTAAACACTAAATCTAAAATTGGAAAAATACAGATTGAGATGAGAGAATTTGTGTCACAATCGTTTGATAAAATAGATTTGCTGTCTCAATTCAAACGTAATTTTTTTTAATTCTGGGGTAGAGAGTAAATTAAGCAGCAACTATTCGCTGCGGCAACCTTTAGTGGGTCCAAAACTTCGGATAACTCTGTTACAACGTTAAACTTGGCTATTTCCGGTATTTTGTCAAATTGGCATTAGGAGACATCGCTTTGTGCATTTTGAAATAGTTCACAGTATAATACTATAACAATATATATGAAAATGTTCGAAAGTATAGTAATTACGATAGCGATAAGACCGCCTTATTGTACCAAGCTTTTAAGACTTATTTTATACTAATTGTATCAAATTCTTTGTGGTGTACAATAAAGTATATAATAATAATTACATAATGTTATTTTTGTATAAAATATGTTAAGCTTTTAAAGTTTTTGTCTTGTACGCAGCGCATTATATTATATTAATTAAATATTTACGGTATACACATAGCTGTGTATACATTAAAATGTAAATTTATGAAATTTGCAGTAGGCCATCATTTTTATTGAAATCAATTTGGTCTAAAATAAACATCTTTTTATCAGCCTACTGTACTCATACTCACTTTTTCGGTCACCGGTTTGACTATGTGTTTTTATTTTAGAATTTCTTATTTTTTGGTCGGGTAAAAGTAAGTAAAAGCATGACTTTCCCTTAAAGATGAATGTTGATCATCATCCATAAACGTAAATAATACAACCGACGTCGCAATTTCATTACCATATTGGGTGATGGTACATCCTGGCTACCTCATCACCTGACAAAACGCAAAAAAACAAAAGAATTCTTACCGTGACATGTTCACCTATCTTTTCAGAAGAAAGCTACCTCCATGTTTGATGATAGAGTTACATCGCGGCGCGGGATATTTTATAGTACAAAAGATACCATAATACGAGATTTGACATTCTATCGCACTTTAAAACACAAACCAGATATGTTAAATGTATCATGCTAAAAGTATATCTAATACTAAATAAATCATATCAAAGCCATTGAGGGCACGGAGTGATCCATCTTGTTTAGGGTTAATTAACGAGATCGCCGAAGACAGACGCGTTGGTGTTTCCGCTTGAGTTGTTTGGAAATAGTAGATTCGGAGGTCTATTGACGGTGAATGATTTAAATGGATAGCTAAGCGCTTAAGCTAAGCTTCTGAATCTATACAAGGCAATTCTATAATTTCTTCATTTATTTATAATGTAAGTCTTGCCTCGAAGGCAATCGTATATATATTACTAGCTGCTACCCGCGACTACGTCTGCGTAGAATAAGCTGAAGGCGTAACATTCAGACAGAAACACAGATATACATAAAATATGCATATAAATTATAGCCTATGTCTTATTCTGATGTATAAGCTATATTATTGTAAGGTTTCATTAGAATCCATTCAGTAGTATTTGCGTGAAAGAGTAACAAACGTCCATCCATACATACAAACTTTCGCCTTTATAATACTAGTAATGTTATTAGTAAGGATTGTGAGGCGAAAATGACATACCACATCCATAATATTATTATGATCGGCTACGGTTGATTGCCAAGTTGTAGGTTCGATCCCTACAAGTTAATCTTTCTGCCCGCTTTTAAGTTTGGAATAATTCGCGGGACACAGGAATTACTTCTATGCAGCAGTCTTCGCTGTTATACGAATGGGAAGGTCCGCCCGGGGAAGTACCGCGACCTCACAGAAGACTAACGTGTAGTGGAAGTATACTTCTGCGTTTCATCTGGCGAGTGAGGTAGCCGGGGCCCAGTTTGTTAAAAGGTGGCAACACATCTGCAACCCTAGGGGGTTGCAAATGTCCGTCGGCGGTTGTTATCACTTAAAATCAGGTCAACCGCCTTCTTGCTTGCCAACATTTCGTATAAAAATCGGCCAAGTGCGAGTCGGACTCGTGCATGAACCATTATCCATAAAAATGGAAAAATAAATCATGTCTTTTGTATGGAAGCCCCACTTAAATATTTTTTATTCTGTTTTTTAGTATTTGTTGTTATTAGCGGCAACAGAAATAGATCTGTGAAAATTTCAAATGTCTTTCACGGTTCATGAGAGACAGACACACAGACAGACAGGCAGACAGCGGAGTTTTAGTAATAGCGTCCTGTTTCACCCTTTGGGTACGGAACCATAAAAGGTTGAAATACGCGAAGAACAGGAAAATTACATGTTTCATATTCAATATACACTATATGCTCGAGTAACTTGAGCCACTGAATTAAAAAATCATAATAAGCCAATGCTAAGTTCCTCCTTAAGTTCATTTCCATGCAATGTTCAAATTGGTCTAGCCGGTCTTCAGTTGACTTTATGCGTAGCACTTAATTCATTAGGGATGAGACAGTCGGGGTACATAAGCAATCCGTCAGACTTTGGAACTCGAAACCGTTTGAATCACTTAATCCATTAACACAAACCACTTGGTAACAAAGTAACGTCCCATCTATGCGGACGGGGTAGATTGAGACGTCTTATTGTATCCTTGTTCCCCTGAACTAAGTCCTCGTACCTATCCGTTACTGCTCAGTGGTTTTAGATATCTGAGCTTAGGTCAGGGGTTCGTATAAAAGTTACGTGCGCTAACGACGTCCGTTTTATCGACCTCTTACGTTCAAAAGTTAATCTTAAATTGTGTCCTTAATGCAGCGAAAGATTTATAAGACAAATTTTATTTCATAAATTCATAAATTTTCCCAAGATAGAGCTAAATTAGTGTTTTAATGCTTTATATAGTTTTATAAAGTTAAATATTATTACATATAATTTGTTAAAATATTTCACGACACATTTTAACTCAACGTTTTCTAGTCCCAAACTAAGCAACGCTTGTAGTAGATAACTGATGAACGTACATAAATGAATACATGTTATAAAAATATAAACACCCAGACATTAGAAAAACACTATATTCATCACACAATATTTTTCCAATAGTGGGGATCGAAGCTCACCCTTCGGCGCAAGAGGCAGGGTTACTACCCATTACGCCAAGTAACATAAGAGAAAGAGATAAAAAAAGTTTAATGCCAACAACCTCGTTCTCACACACATGCCTATCGTAAAACGACAGGCGTTATTTCTTTTTTAAACATTAAAAATACATCCCATTTCTCCGTTAATTTAAAATGTAATCACTGAAGAGTGTTTACAGGAACAATGTCTCAAATCATTTCATATTCAGCCGATATTCACCATATACGTGTAAAAGGGGTGTTGAAGCCACCACATACGTGTGGAAATAGAATATGTTTCATGGTCCCACAACAGCTAAAGAATACACATGAATTGAAGACACATATCAGACACATAAAATATAACGTTAAAAATAAATATATAAGCATCAGAAATTCATAAAGCTAAACTATAATCAAGTTATAATTCAATAGAAATTAAAGTTAAGAGCTTAAAGTCCCTAATACAAGCTTTACGATATGTATACGACGTCAGACGATCTTAAATTCCATGACAATAAATTAAACTTCTTAATTAAGTAGATGGCCGCGATTATTTACGTTTGAGACGGAATTTATTTACGCTTTGCGACTTGTCTTCAGCGCCCCTAATGTAATGTGAAAAGTTTGCTATGAGTCAATTAAAGGCGAGGTCGGGGTGAGGATCGTGAAGGGCTTTGTTCCCAGTATGGGCGCTGACGTTTGGTACACGCGTTGCCTCAATATCTGCGCTCAGTATTTCTTTTATTTATTTGGTCCACAAAACGGAATGCAACCTTTACAAAAGTTCATCAACTGTTTCAAACACAAAAGCATACGCTCGTGATGCATCATTAATGATGAACTTTCTTTTTTTTATGTGAGATGGTGGCAAACGCGATGGCGGTTCACCTGATGTTAAGTGATAATCGAGACTCGTGAACATTTACAACACCCATAGTAAATAAGATGTGTTGCAAATGTGTTGCCACCTTATAAAAGTGGGTCCCGGTTATCTCACTCATCAGACGAAACGCAGAAGTATAATACTTCCTACTTTAGGCTAGTCTTTTGTGAAGACCTGCCCATTTGTGCAACAACGATGAGTGTTGCGTGGCCCTGCCACAGTGGTGTCATTATTAGTGAAGTTTAACGAGCAAGCGGTTCACATGATTACCATTGATTACCGGCCTTAGACATTGGCAATACTAGCGAGGTGGTATGGGTGGTAGAGATCAGCAGTTGGTATGCAAAAGCATTATTACAACTGCCATGGGGATGTGTCAACGCGGGTGATTGTTAGCCTCATACTGGCAATGGAAGTGTAGAACGACCCCCTATTAGATGGAGTGACGACCTGTGCAAATGTGCGGGAAGTCGATGGATGCAGGTGGTTCAGGATCACGCTTGGTGGTAGCCGATGATGGAGGCTTACGTTCACCAGTGGACTGAGATAGGCTGAAATGATTATGATGAACTACCTTGCCAGTTTTCTGTGGGGCCTCTTAAACACCGATTCAACTTAGTAGGATAATAATATATTAGTCTTTTCATTCAGTACTTCGATCAAGGTTGAGAGATTATAATTGTATTCTGATAATCTGTGTATGAAGTTTTAACGTAATTAATTTACATCTATGGAACATGCGTAAAAGAGTAGCTTTTGGTGACCACGTAACTTTAAGGTAAAAAATCACAAATAGATTAATTGGAGAGTCTTGATTACGCCACACATAAATCTGAGATGATAAAAAAAAATCAAAACCACTTAAACTTATTGTTACCAAGTGAATTGGAATTCTGTATGTTTACACTTCAGAAGCTATTTTAAATTGATTAAACTCGAATTTACTGCATAATGTATATTATCTTTTTTATATAATGTGTATCAAAGTCAAAGCCAAAATTTATTTATAGACTTATTTTATTCTCTTATTGAACGTCAAAAAAACTACCACCAGTTCACTAAACTAAACTAATCCAGAGATGAACCGTCAGGAAAGTCGTAAAACTTATATCATTAAAAAAAAAACATATTTTTATATATAAGTTTATAAAATTATTTCAATATAAATTCGGCAGCATTTCATATTATTCTAAAAGAATATTTGATAACAAAGCGACCACATCTCAGAAACTACTTCACCTTTAGTTTAATGATAAATGTCTCGAAGACATACAAATGGCCCTAAGGTATATAAATAGAATGCAACTCACTATCACTGCCTAGAGTGCTAGTGACATTGACTTTGCTTACATTACGCCATTGAAATAACCATGAAGACTTACCTCGAATATTTATTTCCTTTACGTTACTACCTTAAGACAGTTACATTAGAGAATTAAAAATAACGATGAAAGTAAATTTATTTTACCCCCTACAGCACTTGGTTAAACTAAATGCTCTACAGTAGTGTTCTAAAACTCATATTTTGTCAACTGTCTATTTCCGAGATTAAGAATTGATGACAACATAAAATCTGTTAGCCCTGACACGTACTTCTCAGAAGTTAAAAATAAGAAAATTTAAGCAAACAAATAAGTACATTGACACGCAATATTATCAATAAAGCTTATATCTTAAAGAGTTTATTGTACAATTTAAATGTACCTTACTTAAACTCTCCCTTTTATATGTTCGAGATTTTCATAGCCCTTGCCTGTATTACGAAATACTAGCGCCACCGTTCGCACATTTATTTACCCTGGAAGCAGTTTCATATTGTAAGTTACCCCGAAAATACACTCGAGGCAACAGCGTAGTTAATTATTATCCATCGGTGGCACGGAAATGAGGGCTTCCACTGACCCATCGGAAACTTCCTTATTGCGAAATTCAGTGAAAATGTTATGGGTTCTTTCGCAACGATTGTTCATTAATTGACGCAACAACCGAGGCTCTTTCATTGTTATAAAAGTGTTTGGCTAACGAGGTAAATCACTCGTTGTACAAGTGGTGTTCAAGATGGAATACAGCTTGTTTATTGTGAGTACATATGACTTCTTTTATTATTTTTATTCGCTTGATTTCGTTAACAGTGGCGGCGATCGGATAACGCCGCCGCGGGGACCGATTTGAATGGGAAAGAAAATTGGATGTCCGTCTACACTTGTCGGGAACTATTACGGATGTTGCCATGTCAAATTTTAGTTTAAAACCACGCAAGGGATTCTGCTATTGCATGAACGGACAGACTTGTCGAACAAAAAGAAAACAACACAACAAAAACAATTTTAAAGCTGTAAAATACGCTTATAAGAAAAAGATGTACTATAACTTTACATTAGGATCAGATTTGCGAGGACATGTTTTGTTTTCATGAGTTAAGTAACAAATTTAAATAAAGTAAGGTAAAATGTATTTATTTCTCTAGGCCTTTTAGGCATAGAAAAATAAATATTTATTTATTTATTTAAGAGGCCTAGATTAGATCGAGCTGCTATTTGAGAGCATGGGTTAAAACCAAGTCAATTCCCAAAAGTTATTTAGTTCGGCGAAACTAAATCTAGAAAAAACACAAGATATACATTTCGCCATTCATATCAACCTCTTTTAAACAAGTAGATAAAAAATATTTATTTAATTATCATCAATTATGGTGTTTGGCTTTTAGTTCAACAGAATAAAAGTAACTGTATTAATTGTTTTGTTTTTTTGCCTCTTTGTATTAACTTAAAAAATATTTTGCTAATTTTTAATTAACGATTTCTGACAATTAAATCTAGTTACCAATGTCATTTCTAATTACTAAATTGCCTTTTAAGGTTATACTTCTTTTGACGTGTTTGGAAAAAATTATGAGCGTAAAATTTTTAAGACGCGCGCGCACACCCACCGCCAAAAAGCGACACGATAAAGTTCGTTCCAAATTCACGATATTACCATGGCAACTAATAACAACTTTTTTACATTTACCTATTATTACAAGTTATAAATATCAATTGCATTTAATATATTTTTCACAAACAAAGAGTACTGGCATAGGGGATAGAAATTTTAGTTATTTTTTTTTCATTACCCTAAAGAAGTATAACTTCTACGTGCGTACCTAAGTACAGAGATTTGAAACTCTTTTTATTGCATTATGTCTAAAGTGATTTTTAATAAGTTGCTGGGCACATTAGTATATTTTATATATATCTGTATTTTTGCACAAACGACAGATTTGTCTAAGCGTTTAGAGTCATGTCTTTGAACGTCAAAAACATTCATTCTATTCTTATTTACAGGCGCTAGCGTGTCTAGCTCTGCCCTTAGTGTACGCTGCCCCAAAACCTATTACCATCTACACATCGGAACCAATAAAACTGGAACAGATTCCGGAAAAGAAGGCCCCCGAGCCAGTGAAACCAAAACCGGTCGTAGAAACGATACCGTTTTACACGACAGCCTTCTTCCACACATTGACGACGGAGAAACCGGTGGAGAAGAAGGAGAAACAGGAGATTCAGAGCTACTACAACATGAACTCACTTCCTCCCTTATATGCGCTGTACGGACCATATTACGGCATGCTTGCTATGAGACCAGTGGCTGTAGTGCCGAAACCGTTACCGCCGTTTTATTACAGAATGAAGATGTTCTATCAGATGCTCGGTTAATAAATTGTTGTTACGATTGAACTGTTGTTTTGTGCTTATTCCTTTAACTGTAGTACCAAGCAACAGTGTTCGCTTTTCCACGAATGTGCAGGTCAGTCCGGCTAAGTACCACGAGCAAACAGACTCCAGGCGTGAGGTGTAAGTGTTGTACTTCTGCATATCGCCTGGTTCGTTAGGTAACAGGGGCCCACTTTATTAAAAGTATTCCTTACTATGGGTGGTCAGAATTATTTACTATGTGTGTTGCAAATGTAAAGGGCTGTTTGCCACCTTCTTAAAAAAATCATTTAGCTTTAAACTGATTTTTGAAGTTAAATTGTCAGCTGGCAATGAAGGCTGGATTAATTCGGGTAAGTATTAATAATGAATCTACGAATCTAAGCGTCACTTTATAATGAATAGTATCAAAGTATTTCCAAGTCGAGTTTGCTTTTTTCGTTGTTTAAACTACATATATATTATACTACGTAGCAAGATCTTACTTATAAAAATTATATGCTTAAAAAACACATTGTTATTTTAACAATTACTTTAAGTTCGGTTTCCACATCTTGCAATATATGACATTAACATAACAGTTACACAAATATTTATTCCACGAGCATCTTTCAATTGAAATCAGAAAAAGATACTTTGTCCTATACTTAAAAATAGAATGTAATTTATCATCGTTTCTATTAAAAAAGGAACGTTACAACTACAAACTAACATTAGATTGACCTTAAACAAAACGTCGTTAAGACAGGTGACTTTAATAGGCCAGTGGAGAAACGTGATTCACGCGATTTCATTTATAATTGATACGCGGAGGCTGCAATTAGCGATGAAAGCCTCTTAAAGGCGCAAATCCCCGTTCCCATCGGTACATCGACCCTGGCAATTATAGAAACGACAATTCATTGACTTACCTCCCTACAATTCGCAGTAATTCAATTAGACGTGACGGTGGCACTTAACGAATATTAAATTGGATCGCGAATGCCGAGGTGTGGCCAGGATTTCACGGTCAACGGTTATTTCTCAAGACGACGATTTGAGGCGTTTTCTTGGGTGTGGGCTAAGCATGTCTGAACAAAGCACCAGTTTCACATTGATTAACTAATTAATTGCCTTGTACCAATCACAGCGGCAGTCCAACGTACTTTTAGTTGTTGATGCTATTATGCACCATATCGACTACTGTTCTAATGGAATCTATGAGATCACATATGCCGCAAACACTGCTAAAAACTGCCTCTTTTAGTACAAACATCAAAATCATTTATTCATCGATTATGTCAAAAGTTATATTATATTAAGTTATATTATATTTCATCTATCGATAGTCATATTTTTTTTAAATCTACCACTGTTTCGTAATGAGGTTCCTCTAGCGGAGAAGAAACAGGCGAAAGAAAATCCGTAGGTATCCTCTTTTTTGTAATTATTTTTTTAAAAAAAAAAATTAAAATATACAATTGATTTTTTTTCCTTTTAGAAATAGCTTGGGAGCGATCAACTGTAGCAGTAGTAAACTTTCATAAATTACTACATAAATATACATTAAACATAGCCCTTACTTTACTATAACATTATCCTGTGTTGTAAGGACGTCTTTACAAACATAAATTTCAGGTGGACAAACCCCCAGATGCGAGACAACTATCTGTGGGTCACACAAATAGTTGTCCCGTGTGGGGATCGAACCCACGACCCCCGACGCCAAAGCCAATACATTGGCAAATGCGCCACGGAGTCATCATTCCCTGCTCGGACTTTTTGATTTTAGCACTTTAAAATTACTACATACAATAAGTACTTATCCCAAAATTTTGTTGAATGTTTTAATGAACGAGAGTTCATTGTAAAATGCTATTTGAGACTAAAATGCTATTTGGCTCTCGCCATATTGTTGAAAAACTCACTAAGTAACACCGGACATCGCCAAAAATTCAAAACAATTAGATAAATATCAAGATACCCACGCCGTGAAGATATAGCACAAGCTAAAGCGTCTGAAAGCGTTTCCGAGAAGTCGCTGGTTCGAGTCCTGGCATCGCAGACAATGATTTGATAATTTATCTATTAAAATTACATTTAAGCTGGTTTAGATCTAAATATATCAGTAAATATTAAAAATAAAGTAATAATTTATAATGTTTACATCATTGAAAAATGTAGAGTAGTTAGTATCTCGTACTCATTGCGTAGTTTGTAGAAATAAATGCTACTATTCCAGATGATTACATGTATATATAACATATTCACACTACACTTACTCGTAAATGCGTGAGAATTATCGTAGCAACGACCTCCAAATCATGTCGAGATAAGCTGCAGCTACCCCTATTGAACGTTAAGGGTAAACGTAGGTTCAAGAAATGTCAAGTGAGTGTTTGGATATAAAAGTATTTTGTTGTCGTTATGTAATATTAGAAAATACAAACATCTAGGTAACTACAGAGGTAGGATAGTTCTTCCTGTTGGTTTAGTGGAGTTATATTATGGCCATACAAAACAGACATATTGGTTGAAATTTGGCTGAAAATTAGCCAAATTTCAACTATTAAATATTAAACTATTTTTCAATCACTCAGCTGTTTGTCCATAAACAGTTAATGTCAGCCACATAAAATATCTGACATTGAATGTAAGCCACTACAAATGTATTAAAAGAACTATTTACTTTATTTAATCTATTTATAACACATATATCATAGAAAAATTAATTGTGTTCAATCTCATGAAATCAAAAGAGTTACTAAGTTTTTTTCTTCGTGTGCTAATACATATATAGACAAAGGTATGTACTTAAGAGGAAAAGATAAATATAGATCTTTGTGAACAAGACATCAAGAATCCAAGATCAAGGCATTCCCGCAAACGACGGTCAAATTGCGAAAATTCTCGGTCTAGGCTACATCACTAGAAATAGTTCTCTAGGTAAGGCCAAGTTAAGCATATATAAAAACTTATTCTAGCGTTAGAACAGACTATCGAACATTTTTGTCGATAAGAAAAACGACTGAGTTACGTTAATAAGTTTTGTGTTTTTTTGCGAGCCAATGTAACTGAAATCCAGAGCAAACCATTCATGTTAAAACCGACATGACGACAGACGCGTTAGTATATGAAATGAAGCATCGTTCGGAAACGGGCAAAGTAATTAAAATATCCAATATTATAATTGGTTTATTTTTAATTAAAATAGTCAGCAATAATACGGAATTCTGCTATGTTTGCATAAATAACCACGCATTCACCACGTCGCATAGAAATAAATCCAAGCAATTCCACGGAGTGATATCAATGCCGCTCGCATTTGGTAAATATAAGATATCTCCTAATCAAATATAAGAAGTTGGGCGGCATCTGTTCTTTATCTCGACGATGAGGAGAGCTTCCACGTTCAAGGTCAATGGGAATCTTCCCTCTAGCCTATTCAACGGTCTTTGTTAAGGAGGGAAAGAGACAAATAAGCAATAACATTACACCATAAACATAACCACGTTATGCAATAAAAGGATGTGAAAATTTGTTTGTTTGTACGTTACAGTAATCTTTGAAAGTATTAAACTGATATTGTTGGAAATAAGTAAAGTGTGTGCTACTCGCGTTGCCTAGTCTACGCTTTAGGCTAAGCTTTAAACTAATAATAGTAAACTTTTAATAAGAGATTGTAGTATTTGGCGGTCGAATCGGAGGAAAAGTTAAACAGTCGATATTTTTCATATTTGGTACGCAAAAGCTGAATGTTTAAGCTATTTTATTTTGCCAAAATGTTGCAGTTTTTAGTCGCCTCTATAACGAAGGTACCGGAATGTAAACAGATTAGGCACTACAGATACTTTAAACTATTGCGAAAATTAAACCAAAAAATAATATTTCGAAAGAATACAGTGGTCCTATGTATCTTTAACAAAAGAACGCCAAAACCTCAGAACATCAATAATTACAATAAAAGTTGCAAAGCAGTGTTCATTTTAGAAAATGAATAAAGTAAAAATAAAATATCAGAAACTATTTAGGAACTATTTGGGGAAACGTTAGAGAGCTATTCGCTGGAAGATATTTGGAAATTGGTGATGTTTTTTTGTTATTAATGAAGTGATACTTCTAATAAATACCACGTAAACATTCAATAACTATATTATGAAAAGAAACACACGGAAGAAGGATTGGTTAATCAGTTTCTTCGGAAGAAAAGCTGATAAAAGCATAACGTTTATTATGTTCCTTTGTTGCTATATCCTATGACTCGACAACAGAGCGAGCTATCAGCATTTTTATTCAACATAGAAATGTTTATAGGCCAGTGACAGAGTAATCACATTTTTATCTTAGCACAATTCTCGGTCATGCCTCCTCAATCTCAAATCAAAGTAACCAGCGAAACATAATTTAGTTTCCAGAAAATAACTCATGAAGGCTAGCAAAATAACCTTCAGTTTTAATATTTTAACACCACACAAAGTGTATCAATGAGCTTATAACGCGCCTTATTCCGGTCCTGTATTTGTAAGAACACACTAAGGGCATTCGAGCGGGTCGTTACGAGACAAGGATCGTTTGAGCCGAGGTCCTGCGGTGCAGAATGGTCCTCGCCGTACGCGGCACTTGCGAAATATTCTTCAATACTCCTGATCTTTTAGGGTTCTGCTTTTTTTTTTTTTATTTAAAACGCGATTCAATATATGGTAATATTAACATGGTTATTTTTTAATAATGTTAACTCTGTGTTATTAATTCACGTTGATACGTGATTGATGAGAAACCATGAGCAGTATGTAGAAGAATTCATTTTGTGTGATTACTTTAATTAGTAATTTCATTTATTACCAAAAATAAATCTAATATATAAAATTCTTGCGTCACGGTGTAATTGAACTCCTCTTCGTTGTATTCGTGCTTGTAATTGAACTCCTCCGAAACGGCTCGACCGATTTTCGTGAAACTTTGTGTGCATATTGGTCAAGGTGGAGAATCGGACAAAATCTATTCTTCATCCCCCTTAATGTTAAGGGTGGTCCACGGCAAATATTTTTTCTACCTTACAAATTCTTTAGAAATAATTTATACGGCAAGACCACGTTTGCTGGGTCAGCTAGTAATACCATAAAATAATACCGTCAACCTTAACATTTTTTTAATTAATACATAGAGAATAAACTTAGTAAATAGCTAAAAGGAGACGTTAGTTTTTAATTGGGAGACAGTAAATTTTACATGTAATGAATGTTCCGAATATTGGGACCCGCATACATACGTTTGCATTATACAGCGTGTCGTTACCATCGCGACAATAAATGAACACACGTGTAACGCTACTTGCCAATAATCATAAAAAAATATTAAAGTTAAACAAAATCCATAATTAAAAAAAAATATTTTTCAAACAAACTAATTAAGTAAAACAGAAACAAAATTTGTAACATCCTACACAACTCGCGCCTCAGCGTCGCATTACAAGCCTCTCTTCCTAACAGTATGTTTTGTCTCTTTTAAATTCATTCAACCCATTCATATGCTTTGTGACCTTAACAAATGAACTTTACGTTACAGTTTTATACGTAAGGGTGTTCTAAATTTTTTTTTTGGAAAATTTAATAACTGTAAATATTGATGTTTAAATATTTAATACAATTTAAAAAAGTTATTCTCTATATGTGTGTTCATTTATTGTCGCGGTGGTAACGACACGCTGTATATATAGGTATTTTTTTATTACGAGTTAAATAACAATCTATTGTGGGTATGATATATTCAATATCATTAAAATAAGCAACTTTAACTAGTGTCATTTATTTTTCATAACTTGCGTACGGAACCCAAACACGACACAAGCCAGTAGTAGCGAATTTTTTTATTAAAGACAGTCGGTCCGTTACCAGCAATAGCGATTTAATATAACAATAACATTGTGACACTTGGCATACGATTATCTGTGACACGATGACGCCTTCAATGTCACTCCCCTTACTTCACTTTGTCAATTTTATTTAAAAAAATATTCAAACGTTTAAAATTATTCTCAATCTATCAAATTAGGAAAAAACAATACAAGAGGGTTATGGTGGAGTGATTAAATTGTATGTATCATAATGTATTTTAAATTTTGAAACCTTACCGACATATTTCATTGCAATATGTTGCAATAACTTCTAGTGCGTTCTTAACTTGCGGCAATAACTATACATGAGGATCATCTATTGCTATTGCCATTTTCTGTTATATATATATATATAAATATATATGAATTTAACTATTAAAATGTTATCTACTGAGGTATGTGGTTTAATCGGTTAATAAACACCTTTTCAACACAATTACTAATTTAGTGTTAAGACCACGCAACCGTCTTCGCTTTTGCAGAAAGGTCCGTCCGGGTAAGAACCAAGACCTCACAGAAGTCCTTTGAGATATGTTATACGTCTGCGTTTCGTCTGGTGAGTAAGGTAGTCGGGTCCCACTTTTTAAAAAGGTGGTAACGCATCTACAAAATAAATTTATTGATAATTTAAGCGTAAATTTTGCTATTTGTTATAAACCTTATATAGGCTCGAACGAAAACAGAAATGCCTGTCGTTATATAACGACAAGAAAGATAAAGTCATCGTTCACCCGACCCGTTAAAATGTGTAAATGTGGCCTAAACTGAAACTTAAAATCAGTTAATCTTAAATACAAGTTATTGGTTAACGAATGTAATATTATATTATATATTTTTAACCCTTAAGTAATGCTAAGTGCAGCTCATGGAAACCTGCATCACCTGAGGGGTTGTAGATGCGTTGACAATCTTTTAAATTGTAAAATGAAACCAGCCCGATTCACGTTGCCAAACGTTCACACCCAAGTACGAATAGAGGCTCACGCAGCCTTTAACCGCACGAAGGGACCTATAAAAGGGCAACTTCTAGCTTATGGAAGCACAGTCATATCACGACAACAGTTCAACACAGCACGACACAATCACACAAAGCAAGATGTTCAAGCTGGTAAGTTAATCACGTAAATAATATAAAATGATAAAATCGATTTCCACTAGGAACAAAAGTAATGTGCCTATATACACCAATTGTCTCTGTTTTACTCTAATTATTAACCGATGGTAATTTAGCTTCAGATTATTTTTAGAGTTCCGTACCCAAAGCGTTAAACGGGACCCTATATAAGACTCCGCTGTCTGTCTGTCCGTCTTCACCAGGCTGTAACTCATGAACCGTGATTAAACAGTCGGAATTTACTAAAAAGAGAATAAAAAAAATTTTGTGGGGCTTCCATACAAGAGACATAACATTTTTGCAGTTTTAATATATATATTATATATAAAATAACTAGCTGATCTGGCAAATGTTGTCTTGCCGTATAAATTATTTCTAAGGAATTTGTAGGGTAGAAAAAAATATTTGGGTTGGACCACCCTTAACATTTAGAGGGATTAAAAATAGATGTTGTCCGATTCTCCACCCTGGCCAATATGCACACAAAATTTCACGAAAATCTGTCGAGCCGTTTCGGAGGAGTTCAATTACAAAGACCGTGACACGAGCATTTTATATATTAGATGATACGGACAGCATCGTGTGCGAGTCCGACTCGCACTTGGCCGGGTATTTTATCGTTATTATATTGATCCAATTATAAAAAAAGATATTAAGTGAAATTAAAAAACCAAGCCATCACTGACGCGCAGAATTAAATATAAAAATATAAATATCTTTGGGCCATTTCATTAGATCGACTTATCTTGTAATTATCACTCCATAGATTAAAACTTATGGCTGCGGCATAAATAAGACAGATGGAATTTGTCGTCAGCCTTAATGAATGTAAGCTTGAAAAGTTGAATATCTGTAATATGTTATGCACATCCTGTATAATGTATGCGCTGTATTAAGCTAAGTTGAAAGACTCGAGGAAAGATATATTTTTCATTCCACAATAATTTATCTCCGTACCCCGGGTTTACTGGGAGAGAATGCCAAAAGGCATTAAGTTCGCCTTTTGTAATTTTTGTTTAAGGTAATAAAGTATAAATTATTAAAAAAAATAATAATAAGATATATATGTTCAAAGCTTTAATAAGTTTTAATTAAGCACATAACATTAACTTGAACTTTATTTATCTCCTTCACAGTAAGAATACTGGGTTCAAATGTCATAAGACAAATAATTAGGAAGTGGGTAAACTGTATCAAAATTACACAATACAATACAATATTGAGTGCAATTAAATTAAAGTATTTAAAATTTTTATTGTAAAATTAATACGCCTCTCGCACAAATAACACCCGTCATTTGGAAACGCCGCCAGACATTTTCCGCCCGGGCCAAAAGTAAATTTAACGAGCTTATGACCCTTTTAAGGACCCGCCGAGTGATGTTCTAATTTCTCTCGAGGACGTTGTCATATTTTTTTCTAATACCCTTTTGTGTTTTTTCGTTCAACCCTAATGGACTCGCTTTCATTCGGAAATTATAAAACATTAAACAGATTCAATTTAATGGCATACTATTTATTTTGCTAAAAAATACATAAGTAAAATGAAATATAATAAATATATACCTTAGTAAGTTTGCTAAAAACCATAACTATACCTGCCTACTCCATTGAGTTAAGAAATTCACATTGGCCTTTGTACTCATGATGCATGAAATATAAAGCCTAAGGAGTATAGATAGGGTCATATTATCAACAGAGATTCCTAATAAAGTTGATTTTTCCATGCGCGATACATTTCGGATACCGCGATGTCGGATGCCGAAATGCTAAAACTTTCCCCACAAATTGACACTGGATGTAATAACGATGACCAAACATCCTTGATCTATCCCGTTCGCGTAACCATTAGCGTACCCTTCACCGTTTCTGTATGAATGTATTTAATTATTTTATTCTTTTCAGACTATACTTCTCGCCATTGTTGCCTACTGCCAGGCCGGCATAATTGCACCAGTGGTCCCAGTAGCGCACCCTGTGGTAGCCCACCCCGTTGTCGCACACCCAGTGGCAGCGGTTGCCCACAGCACCGTGGTACACCATGCTACACCTGTTGTCCACGCTCCAGTGGTCCACGCCGCACCAATAGTGCCAATCGTTAAGTACGCACCCGTCATAGCAGTGCATCATTAACTGTCCAACGGCAATGTTAGTTCGCTAAAATAAATATTTATGGAACAATACTTTTTTTTTCTTATGTGCTTAAAAAAAACTACGTTAAAAAAGATAAACTATAAAAACGGTATACTTTTTGGGAATTATTTTTTAAGTTTAATACATCTTACACAATTTAAATCAAAACGTAAAATCATTAATTTGAAGTAACTTCTAGTCTGTATATAATACACTAATTGACCATGTTCATATCCTAACGACCTATATTTTCGTAACAATCAGAATTTTGTATTGTATTTATTACTCGTATTATCTATTGAAACTAGCTTACATGATATTAATAAACAATCAACCAGCTGTTCGGAACGGCAATATCGGCTGGCATTCGCCGGAGCTCAATCTCGAATGTTTGCGGCATTTACCGTGAGTTATCGTCGAACCGACTGTCCCAGATCGGCCTTTAGAGGATTACCGTAGAGCCAGCGGAGATGGAGATGCACGCCCCATCTGATGCTCCCAAACGGGGTGTCAATAAAGCCTATCTTCAAGGATAACTGCCGAGGGACCGGGCAGTAATAGGCGCCAGTGCAGTAATAGCCTTGTTGTATCGACTTCCCGGTTCCGAAGGCTGTGCGGCCTTGATAGTTACAGAAGAAAGGACCGACTGTTCAAAGTTAAGCGTTAGAAGTAACGCAAGGGTCGTTACGGCCGTTAACTTTACCGTTAATGGTCGTCTTTTAATGATCCAGAAGTGTTATAGGTTTTCTGTTCAGTGAGTTCATTTTTGCATTGCGATTTCATCGTTTTTGAACAATTGACAACTTTTTGTAGGTGTGTTGAATAAAACTTTGATTTTGAAAGGGATCTTTAAAAACCTTGCAAGTTTTTAAGCCATATTATGCCTCACGACAGGACAATTATATTAAATATAACGACGGCTATATTCTTTACATTGAAAATTATCTTTTAATAACAACAATGATAAAACAAGCTTTTCGGCGGATTAAAATAGGTTGTCAATAGAACCGTCCATTAACCCGACCTAGTTTAATAAGCTCTGACACCCTCTTTGATGTAAATAAATGATTTATATTACGAGAACGGTGGCCGTTTACACCATTAATATTTTCAATAACCTTAAATATATACTAGTTTCATGTTTCCATATAGTGGGAAAAAACTTGTCTTACTGTGGTAGAGCCACGCAGCTGTCCTCTGCTGTCATTTGTCAACTGTTGCACGAATGGGCAAGTCCGTCCGGGTAAGTAAACACTCGCTCAATGAAGGCGTGAAGTGGAAGAGTTACACTTCTGCGTTTCTTCTTTAGTGTGTGAGGTAGCCGGGGCCCACTTTATTAAAAGGTGGCAACTCATCTGCAAATGTGGCTGTTTCAAATGTTAATTAGCAGCGGTTATCACTTAACACGAAGAACATTATTTTTCAACAAAGCTATCAGAAAAACTTTCCACTCTCCATCCATTTCAATTGACAATTACTTTGTATTGCATTGCTGTTCCGTTCTGTCAAATCGCAGGCAATAAATAGTGTAGGAGATCGTTACTAATGAACTTTTATTTGTTGTTGTGGTTGTATGGAGGGCCTTCGAGTTGGAGGTTCGCAGAGGCCGATTTGATTTTAGGATCGTGCGAGGCGACGGCGTTTATATTAATTAGCGCGTCTACGTCCCTACCCTAATTGCGCCTTGGGGCATTCCAGGGCCACATCGCAAAGACCCTTAGGGGCACTTTGCTAAATGTGTTACAATGTTTCTCTTCTCAGTACATATGACGTAGCCTAAATAGTAGAATCACGTGAGTAGTTCCGACTGGAATTATAATTCTCAGAATAGTTCAAAAATCAAAATGAAAAATATGTTTATTCAAATAGACGCTTGCGCGCACGTCTTATGAATCGTCAAATTTTACATCAATGAATTTGTATATAGTTACGTAAGGTACCACCGGTTCGGAAAGCGGTTTCTGTTGAGAAGAGACCGGCAAGAAACTCAACAGTTGCTCTTTTTAAAAAATATCAGGGTACAATATAATATAATATAATTATAATTAAATTATATTAAATATAATATAATACAATATAGTATAATAGTCTTATTATAACCTACGTGAGTATCAACTGTATTAACTCAGTGAAAATTAACCATTAATTTATTTAGTATGCTTTCCTTAGTCTAAAAGATTCATGGAGTAGTTTTATCAAAATGTCTCAGTACTGAGATACATTTAAGAAATAAGTAGAGTCGATAAATTTTAATTAATATAAAAAAAGTAAAGTATCAGCCTATACATGTCCCACTACTGGGCAAAGAGGCCTCCTCTGTTCAGAAGGTATAGTCCACCACGCGGCCCCACTGCGGATTGGCGGACTTTAATTAATATATTTTAAGTTTTCCCATAAAATTAATGGATTTAATTCTCTGTGGATATACATCGATCCATTAAATGAGCAAGGCTTCGACTTTTAATATTAACTAAATCATTTTTCTCGAACTTCGTCAAGAGTGTTAAACAAGCGCCTAGTTTGTCGAAACTTTGCTCGAATCGTTCGGGAAAGTTGTACATAGATTGCATATTGATTAAAGGAAACATTTTTATAGATTGGGGAAAAAGTCTTGTAAAATCTATATTGTTGTACTAAATTAAACCACAGATATATCGCGTTTATTTTTATTTACGTTACGAACCCTTTACAGCGTCCATCGTCACGGGACAGACCTACAGACAGGGAATAAACGCGATAAATCCGTAAAAACAAGAAATTATTATGTTTCTACTGTTTTTATCCAGCTGATGTCAGGCAGTACCATAAATAATTATATGATATTTACAAAAGAAAGATAATAATTATAAAATAAATTCCCATAATTTTTCAGTTATGTGTCCGCTAAAATGAGTAAGTCTAAGGAAGAAATTCGATACATTTTGAAGTTTTGTTATAAAAAGTATAGACTGCGCTAGGTAATAATCCTAATTAATTTAATTCGTAACGAGGACATCCGCAGTAGAACCAAGGTAACCGACAGCTCAGAGGATTAGCAAGCTGAAGTGGCGATGGGCCGGCCATATACCGCGTAGGACCGATAACCGTTGGGCAAGAATGGTTCTCGAGTGGCAGCCTCGTACTGGCCATCGCAGGGTAGGACGACCCCCCACTAGATGAAGTAACGACCGTGCAAATGTGGGAGAAGTCGATGGATGCAGGTGGCTCAGGATCGTGCTTCGTGGCAGTCTGTGGGGGAGGCCTATGTTCAGCAGTGGACTCAAACAGGCTGAAATGATGATGATGATAGTGGGCCTAATTTAATGTCAATAAAAGTGGCACAAAGTTGGTTTATGTGATTTCTGTCTAGGAATTTTGATATCAAAGATGCAGGCTTGCTCTTGTCGCTCAGTTACAGATAAAATCGAAGCCATTTCTGAAAAAGTGAAGCAAGATCGGCATTATAGTAATAACGAAGCCGCTGAAGAACTAAGGATTTGCCAAAAAAAAACTAGATATTTGGGTGTCACATGAGCTTGCTGAAATAAACCTGATGAATCGTGTACTCATTTACGGTTTTCTGTTTAAACGTAATGAGATTAATAAATTTTTCTAAGAGAATTGACCATGGCGATGAAAAGTTGAAAACCAAAGACAAAAACTTGTGAAAAAGCTTTCCATAACCGGCGTTACCAGCTTTCTCATAAGTAAATTTGGTATAAAGTAACGCTTGAGGATATACAAACCCTGTAAAGGCTATTTTTGGTTTTTTATCTAGACAGATACCGTCCTTTAGGACACGAATAAACTCCCATACGGTTGTAAAAACGGAACTATAAAAAGATAAAAGGTCTTTCTAACCGTAACACAAATTTACGTTTACTTTGCTATCGAATAACAACAAAAGCTAATGGGAGGTCATGTTTCTTTTTGAATTCTATTGCCCATCAAAGCAGATATACTATAGCAAACTAGGATGCTGAACTTTCTTACCCTTTTCTATTAAGTTACTACAATACACAATAATTCGGTAGCTACCTGAAGAGCAAGTATAAATATGACTTAAATATTGATATCATCTAAATTTAATCACTTTTTCATCAAATTTACTCTAAGAAAATTACAAGGTTTCGTTGGGGAAAACGTAGTGTAATATACTTTTTCTATTTAGTACACACTGATGGTACTCTACATCGAAATTGACGAGACACATACCTCTGGTGATGAATAAGTACGGAATGCGAAATCTGTACTACTGCTGAGTTAATGGGCGCATAGAGTAAGTAACTCGTTCATGGGGCGGTGTATACGCTTTTATAAAAAAACCTCTGCAAGCTCGCGCAGAGCCATAATTATAGACAATTAAGAAATTATTAAAGAAAAAATGAGCCGTCATTGGACCCCCGGCAGATGTGAAAAGTCGACATTATTTTGTAAAAGTAATATGCAGAAAAGAACAGATTGTGATAGGAACTCAATATGTCATAATGATAAAATAAAATATTACGGTTTTATTTTCCAGATAACGATGACCATTTATTGAATAAACATTTATTTTCATTAAACACAAAAATTTAGGAATTTGTTTCTATATAATATAATTATTAATAATTTAAATTTGAGTAATTAATCGTACACACTACTGCATATAGACTGTATATATATATATACCATCATATAGCGTGGCGACGCGTCGCCACGGCATGCGTCGCCACGTCAGAATTTTTTTTTGAAAAAGGTTTAACAGCGGCAATAGATGTTTCACATCAAAACTTCATAAAAATCAATAGTATAAATGAATACAGTAAATGATATGTCCCTGGGAATGAGATGATAGTTCCCAAGCCATTTATAAAAAAAATTATACTGTATAATAATTTAATATTTTGACGAAAAAACGCCATAAATGAGGAGTTTCTTTAGCCTGTTTCTTTTCCGTTATAAGAATCTCATTACAAAACGGTGGTTGATTTAATAAAAATTACTATCGTTAGATGAAATTATATTTTTTACTTGGA